GAAATGAAATTCCTTGACATTTCCCTGACAAATTTTGGTGCAATTCCCTGACAATTTAAGATATGATAGGTGGTTAAGAAAGCATAATTGAAAATAGTTATCAGGCAAAGTTGTTAGAAACCTCATACCCATTCTAGAAAGCAAATAAAGGTATACTTTAACAAATTTTTCCTGACATTTCTCGGTTTTCCTTGACTTTTTAAAATTCCCTGACATTTCCCGGTTTTCCCGGCATTATAAGCATTGTAGAATCAACGAATATATTTAGCTGTCGTATTCCGAAACTTCAATTCAACTTTCCCTAACTTGGCAAGAGCGTGTCACCGAGCAGGTTGTATGATGAGGATTGCGACGGTTTGCTCCGGATAGAAATTTCGGAATAGAAAACGATTAGAAAGTTCGAGAATATAGCTGCCTAAAAATTTTAACTTGAGCGTTTAGAAAAGGTTCGTGGAGTTCCATCTACCCTAAATCCAGAGAAATAGACGTAGAGGTTGTCAACTCGAGGCGTAGGCGCGTACCTCGAATGTGCACAGAGTTTCTTCAGGTGATTTTGGAACTCGAAAACCAACCCCAAATTAAATGTGAGTAAGTAACTGAAAATGAAATTTTAAAGGGAAAAGGCCGTGAGGAACTGCAAAGAGATATCCGTCTCCTCGTTGAGATCCGTAAGGAGAAAAATGCGGTCAACAACACACACGTGGATTGTAAATTATCTCATTGTATATGCCAGACGCTGTCCATAAAAACGCCGATAGAAAAACCAGCATCACTTGTAGATTCCATGCTCCGCAACCCAAGATAATTACTGTGGATTCGACGATCTCACACGCGAAGTTAATTTGTTCACATTCCCCTGAACGGTTTTGTTTTCCTTCTACAGGACCCAATATGCAATGAAAGTACTCGAAGTTGAGCGTGAAAGAAAGTCTAAAAGATTGAAAGTATTTTCAAGGAATGCTTTGAGCATTTATTTGCAAACGAAGAAAAATACGAAAACTTGGATGAGCTAATTACAAGATGATACCACTACGAAATGCAGGACTGAGAATGGCACAGCACAGGGGGTCGCTAAAAAGGTAGGCGAACATTTGGAAGGTCGTACCACAGTCCTCAAGAAAGATTCAGAAAACGTTGGATGGAGTCTAACCAACTTTAGGACGATTTGATCTCAACAAGGATGCAGATGCAAAAGGTCAGGGAGTTTGGTAATCTTAACGAAAGTAGATATCAACGAAGAAGCTACCAGACCACGTACCTGGCTTTACGACGTTGCAGACATCCTACCATACTTTATTTTAAACATTGAAAACTACTCAACGCTAGTCCTTCAAAACTTACGAGATTTTTCTTCTTTGTCCGAAGAAAATTCTGAGAAAACTACAAGGAATGACATTGATTCGTTCTCCTTTAAATAAAAAATAAAATGGAAGCGGAAATTTTTGAACACCGCTGACAGGACACGTGGTCTGATAGTTTCAACGTCGATATAGAAAAGTCAGAATCCCTGAATATGACATTTACAAAAGATGGATGACACAACTAAAATTGAAAAAGAGGAAAAGGAAAAAAGGACCAGATGAAAATCTTTCGCGAAAAGGACACGTATCAGATTTTCTTACGGTGATACATTCGAAAAACCTACAATTAACGCTGTATTAAGTCTGATCCGTGCGATTGCCAAAGACCTCGCACAAACATTGATTAATTTTTTCATTTTTATTTATTTAAACTAATATGGAGAAAGTGAATGAAATAAAATCGTCACATGCTTCCAAAATATAGGCCGATATTCTTTTTAAACTTTTAGCAACTTAAAATTTTGCTGCGTAAACACTGAAATAGATTGCATCATCCTTCGCCTGATTACCAAACGTGAGAGCATCCCTTTCGGTCTGAGCATACTGATAAAGGAGGATTAGGTTAAACTAAAAAGAAAACGAAATGAAAACTGCAAATATGTTCATGTGGAAGCGGAGCAGAAGGATCATAAATTTCCTTCCGATCTCGCGATATGCGGGGTTGAATTCGACGATAAATTCTGCTTAAAACCGCCCTTGATCACAGAGCAATCCTGCCGTGCTTAGAAAGAACGCCGTATGAGCCTTCAGGCGTTGCCAAATTTTCCTTAATAAAACACGATTTTTTTTTTTGTCAACTTGTGAATATTTTTCCTCCAATTTTCAGATAACTTTGCTCGCAATTGCACCGAAGAGTCCCTAAAATTTCAAGGGAAAATATTCATAAGTTTCCTCGGAAATGAACATTTTATTGAAGGAAATTTGGCAACTCTCAAATGTTCATACGGCGTTCTTCCTTACCAAGGCAGAATCGCACCTCGGGACTATTATCGTGCCTTTTTGGGTCGAAACAAATTTCCTTCAAATTCTTCAAATCCTTCACGAGTAACTTTCAAAGAAGCGGCAACTTGCTCATTGTTCGCTCCTTTTCCAAAAAAAGTCAGCTTAAAATAATTGTTGGAAGAGCCTTCATCCAAATATACAAAGAACTTTCCTAAATTGTGATGTCCGGCCTGTGCCTTTCTGCAAACATCTGACCTACAGAGTGACAAGCATTCCTGTGTTTCAAAATTCCCTGACTTTTCAGGTAGGTATTCTGAACTTAAAGTTCTGCGACTATTCGATATTTTTCCCTTTAATCTCACATGAAAATTCTCTCCACGAAATATTTCAAGCGTGAGGTCTCGTCAAATCGAAAAAATGCAAGGTTTCGCGGCAATATTCACTGACCTCAGAGTAGAAAAAAAGTGACTAACTTTCCCAGATTTTCCCTGACTTTTTAAGAATTTTTCACTCTCTTACTATGTGAAACTGGACCTTCCCAAGGCACGTCCTGGGTAACTTATGTTGTTTTTTATTTTTTTAGATTTTTTTTTTTACTTATAAGGAAAAACAAAAAAAAACACACGTTGCAGCTAATACAGCCATAGCTTAACTTGGACACACTGAAAAAAAATTCTCGGCGTTTTTACCACGGTCCGTTGGTACCTTTACCATCTCACTTTTTTACCAATTATTGGTAATTTTACCAAGACAAACTGGTAAGCATACCTAAAAACCGGTATTTTTACTGATTTTTTTCAGGTAAGAATACCACTTTTATTGGTAATCAATTCCCGGTAACTTTGCCATTTTATCTCGGTAATTCTACCGCAGTCGATAAAAAATATTGGCGTTTTTACCAAGGTCCAGTAAAATTACCAAGAAAGTTCAATAATTTTACCGAGATTTCTCGGTAAAATTACCAATTCCAAAAATGGTAATTTTACCAAGAAAAAACTGGGATCAAATGGAACCCTGAATTCTTGGTAATTTTACCCTATTCTTAGTAAATACACCGAGATTTTGTTTCAGTGCAGAAGCGTGCGCTAAATCAAGAAATTCCGTCTCCAGCCCGGCAACTCAGCGCCTGTTAAGCCGCGCGCGAAGCTGATCACTTGAGCTTTTTTCTGGGCGCCCGTTTCAATATGCTGCAGCGGGACCCGGTGCAGCTGAATCGAATGCCCTTTGGATGTTGCACATAGCCTCTCACGAGCCAAGTGAATACTAAACTTATAGCTATTGGGGAAGATAAGATCGGAAAAATTCAATTCGCGAATAAATCTGTATTTGACGAAGGGCTGAAGGCGTACGGTTTAGTAAACCCTAATCTAGAATCAACAGAAACTTTACACTCAAAATCTATGGCAGGAAAATTAATAAATGTCAACATAGATATCTAGATTACCGAGGCAAAATGAGCCGAAATGTATTATATGCTTGGATTACCCTGGTTTTCAAAAAGTATGAAGGTGAAGGACCTGCAGCGCAGACACTATGCTGAGAATAAGCATGCAGGTTTCAATACATAGAGAAGGTTTTGAGAATATTCTTGGATTTGCCGAGGATATTTTGGGGGTGCACTATGAGAATAAGTTCTCTCCTCAAAATATTATTCTCTTGGTGACCACTTATCAGAGATTCCTCAAAATCCTCTACATAGATTGAAATTTCACGATAACACTCCCCGAGTCGGCCTCCCGTGGTGTGGTCGCTATTGCGCTGGCCTGATGATCGAGAGGTCCAGGGTTGATTCCTAGTTTTAGGAGACTCGAATTTGAAGGTTTCAAGTGTAGGGTTACTTGGGGCCGCGGCCGGTTGTTGAGAAGGGATTGAAAGGAATTGGGGTCCATTTGCAGGGTTGGCCTCTATAGGAGTTATTCGACATCATAAATAAAAAAAAAAAAAAAAAATTAAAGAAGAAGAAGAAGGAGAAGAAGGAGAGGAAGGAGAGGAAGGAGAAGAAGGAGAAGGAGGAGAGGGAGGAGAAGGAGGAGAAGGAAGAGAAGGAGTGAAAGAAGAAGGAGAAGAAGAAGAAGAAGAAAACAAGAAAAAGAAGAGGAAGAGGAAGAGCAGAGGGATAAAGGATAAGGAAATATGAAAAATAAGGAGAAGAGAGAAGAAAAATAAGGAGAAGAGAGAAGAAAAAGGATGAAAAGAAAAAGAAAAAGAGAAAGAGAAAGAATTGGTGGAGGAGAAAAGAGAAGTAAAAGAAGATAATGGGAGAAGAAAAAGAGGATGATGGGAGAAGAAAAAGAGGATGATGAGAAAAGGAAAAGAAAATGAAAAGAAAATGAAAAGAAAAGAAAAGAAAGAGAGGATGAAAAGAGAAAGAAGTAGAGAAAAAGGAGAGAAGAAGAAGACAAATTATGTATGTCCTTCGGATACACACTAAGAAGTGAAGAAAAGAAGAGGGGGGTAAAAATATAGAAAAAGTGGTGGGGAAGAAGAGAAAGAAATGGGTACTTGGACAATTTTCCGGATCGTTTTGGAAAATTACTCTCGGGATATTCTCAACATCTTAGCTATCTACTTGCACAAGTGGACGAATGAGGATCCACGCAAAAATTCGAAGGAGCCGACAGACCCTGAAACGAGGAGAATGCGGTGCTGGATGAAGCTTCGCGGGGGTGGGTCGAAAGCGAAAATGTGAGAGCTTACCGGGAGAACTGTTTTTGAGAATCCAAGGGATGAAAAGTTGATCCAAAGGATAAAAACTAGCAACTCGAGAGGATGCGACACTGTCGAGGAGGCGACGCGGCACTCGATTGACGCTTCCTCGCGTGACGCCGCGCCACCGCGCCGGTTCCTCGCAACCCTCCCTCGCCCCGCCCCCCACCCCCCTCGCCCCCGCGCCGCGAGTCAGCTGACCGGAAACCGTGCGCTATGTGCGCGGCTCAAGACGGAAACTTATCAGAGCACGCATGGTCCTCCGCCTTCTACAGCTTTCGGCCCTCGTTGCCGTTTCTCCCAGTGAAAGTACAGTGGATCGACTCAATAGCAGAGGCGGATCCAGCAATTTGGCAACAACGAATTTTCTCCATTTAAACCTATGCTTAATAATCGATTCTTGTCGGAGCACCTGGCTCCCAAAAATCGATTCATTTCAATAAGTTTAAATGCAGGAAATTCGGTGTTGCCAAATTGCTGGATCCGCCAATGCTCAATAGGAGAGGTCGGACAAAATTTGGAAACTTTAACAGCTTTTAACTCCAATTACACACAAATTTGAGGTTCTAAAAGTGGTTTTATCGGTTTCCTCGTAAAAATTTCCTCTCAAAGCACCCCTTGAAATTTAAAATTTGATGAGATAAACATCAAAATTTTCAGTTTTATTAAAAAATTCCATGTCCGACCTCTCTAATAAACTCGACCCACTGTGTGACGCTTCTGGCAAAGTGGCAGCACCCAAGTGACATTTTTCAACAAAAAAATCGCGATACTTTGAAATTAGGTGCGATATTTTTACGATATTTTGAAATTAGGTGCGATATTTCTACGATATTTTGAAATTAGGTGTGATATTTTTCCGATATTTTGGCGGTCAAATTACTAGGATCATCAGCAGCTGAGCGATTATATCAATCTTGAAGCAATCTCTGTAAAATTCCATACGCTAAAATCGGAACTTCATCTCAATTTGACACGATTTTCTTGTCATTTGATGTCATTCGCTCGCTAAATCCGTAAGTCGATCGGAGGGTATTGTTTAGATCGACGTGAATCAATCGACACTGGAAAAAAAAAACACATTGGATCTAGAGTCCAGACTCTTGAAAACATTGACAAGAAAAAGGACCCTTGATTCAATCAGATTTAAGCTTAAATCAAAAGAAAATCCGCTCAAATTAAGAGGCTTGGTTCTTGATTTAAGCTTAAATCTGATTGAATCAAGAGTATTTTTTATTGTCGATGTTTTTAAGAGTCTGGACTCTAGATTCAATGTGGTTTTTTTCCAGTGGACAGCCGTGAATTGATTGGCATATCCGTGAATCAGTCGAATTTCGTCGATCGAATCGGTTTAGATCGGGTCGCTGTCGATAGCATCCCGTTTTTATTTTTCGATCAAATAGACACAGCTTTTTGGAAGAATTGTCAATCGCATCGGAGTTTGTCAAGACGCTATCGATTATTCCGCGTTTTTGTTTTCCGATCGATTCATGTCGATCGAATGGACACCGCCATCTTAATCAGTTGTCCATCGAATCGGTATCAAAGGAGTCGCTGTCGATCGGTTAACATTTTCTACCTTCGATCGATTCATGTCGATCGAAAAACCGCTTTCAGTTGTTGATCGAATCGCTATCGATCGGTTTCCGTCATTACTTCTCGATCGAATCCATACCGTCCGACACAACTGGATCCTTTTAAAAAATCCGAGACCCCTGCAGATACTTTTACGAGATATTCGCGTTATTGTAGTTTCACGGCCGATTAGCTGTTCTAACCACCTACGCTGCCGTGCTAAGGAAAAACGCCGTATGAACCTTCAGGCGCTGCCAAATTTCCCCCAGCAAATCATTAATTTTCAGGAAAATTTTTGAATATTTGTCTACCAATTTTACAGATTATTTTGTTCGTAATTTGATCTAAAACGTCTGAACATCTCAAGAAAAAGTATTCATAACTTTACTCTAAAATAAACATTTTATTGAAGGAAATGTGGCAACGCCTGAAGATTCATACGACGTTTTTCCTTAGCACGGCCCCTCACGGGTCGATGGTCGAATCGTTTATGGAATGATCCTGATCTATAGATCCCGATCTTGGCAATGCTTTTTATCGATCATGGTCGTTCGACAACGAGTCAGGAATCATCAATCGCAGCCGCATCATAGAGAAAACCATCAACTGCATGCAAACTCAGTCGAACGCTAGTGTTCTACAGCTTGCTGAAAGAATTGACGAGTTTACAGCTTTGCTCAATCCAAATGTGGAGCGATTCGGATGTAAAGGCAAATTTCATGGAAAAACCATACCGATACTGCCGTGCTAAGGAAAAACGCTGTATGAACCTTCAGGCGTTGCCGCATTTCCTTCAATAAAAACCGAATTTCCTGAGAAAATTGTGAACATTTTTCGTCGAATTTTCCAGAAAATATTGTTCACACTTTAATTTAAAATATCTGAAAATTTTAAGATAAAATATGCACAACTTTCCTCAAAAGCACATGTTTTATTCGAGCAAATTTGGCGACTCTCGAATGTTCATGCAGCGTTTTTCCTTAGCACGGCAGAATAGGTCTATCGTCGTTTATTGATTCCCATGAAACACAGAGCGGATAATGTACACGTTTTTCGAGGAGATAACTATTCGTGCTCTGCTGTATGTTTATTGCCTATCTGAAGAAACTGAAGGCGAACTCCAAGGAAACAACATATGGACTGCATTTTGCAATTTGGAGCTATAAATTTTGGCTCTTCTGGAAAACATTTATGTGCATAGGGAAACTAATGGCACATACGTTGTTTTTTTAAACCCAGCTGAAATTTATAGTTCCAAATTGCAAAATGTAGTCCATATGGAGAATTTGCACGCAATTTTTTTATTGCTTCATCTGAAAGTGCCTAATGAGCTGAGTTCGCAATATTTTTCATAATTTTTTTCTGACATGGGAAATTGGAGAAAAATTGATTTAAAAATGAGAAAATGCGCCGCCTTGTGACGTCATCTGGCGGCATTTCCCATTTAAACACATGTATTTTAGCAGAATCGGTTATTTTGTCATATCTCCTCTAATAATCGCTCAATTTATGAATCAAGGGTATCTTCGTGTTCAGTTCACTCAGAGGATTCCACTTAAACAGGAAATTCATCAAATTTCAGACCCTTGCAAATTCTCCTATTGGTACCAGCTCGGTATGTAGCAAGATAGAGCATTCTTGTCGAACAGGTTATCAAGCTTATCGATAGTTTCATTGCATATCCACTGCAATTTAAGGGGAAACACAAGAGGAGGGAATCTATCAATCAGTTTGTTGGAACCGCTGTTACAAAACCTTGCCCCTCTCCTTTCCATCGCGTCATCGCACCGGCGCATAAGGATAAGAAACAATATTATGAGTGGACCTACCTCGTTCACACCTCTCTCTTGCAACATTTGGACAATTTTTGACGAAGTACGAAACTTTCTCACGACGAGATCTCCCTGTAACAAAAGAGCGTAAATATATTAGTTATTTCAAAATAACTTCAAAAGGAAATCTACTAAACAAACTACGAAGCGTCAATTTCTTCCATCAAATTCTGACGCGAGATAATCGTAAATCTCTCTCACTGGTAACTATTTCAGTTCTCCGATAAGTTTGTTACCTATCCTGCAAAATTGAAGGCGAAATAAAAGACGAATATATCTACCAGAAGGAAGGTACCTTTTTTCAGATGATGGAACTGCGGGTCTCGTCCTTCGTCTTATTTCCACGGAACCGTGCTTATTTCTTGCTTCTTTCAATCAACACACTGGTTTAATTAATTTTATTTCTAACTCTCGACCGCCATTTTCGTCATCATTTCGATCGGAAATTGACGGAAATGTGAGCGTGTACCCAGGCCTCAATACACAAACATTTTCTGGGATAGCACCCGCTCTACTGCCGTGCTAAGGAAGAACGCCGTATGAACATTCGACAGTTGCCAAATTTCCTTCAATAAAATGTTTATTTATGAGGAAAGCTATGAATATTTTTCCTTAAAATTTTCAGATTTTTTACATCGAAATACGAACGAATTCCTGTGAAAAATTGGAGGAGAAATATTCACAGATTTTCCTGAAAATTTGTGGTTTGTAGAGGGTAATTTGGCAACGCCGGATGGTTCATACGGCGTTTTTCCTTAACATGGCAGTCTAGGCGTACCATCAATCTGACAGAGAGATCCCGTTCTCCATACCTCCAATTCAAAGATAATGTGATACCACCATCATAACTCCCACGGGCCCGCATTTGCCTATCTAAACTCTAAATCGAGGGCAAAATATTGTCTCGCCCCTCTAAACGCGGATTGCGATCTCCATGAGTCCTATTATGCAAAACAAGCAGAGTGTCTCTCACCGTTCCTAATTGCTGATAAAACTAGAGGCTTTGATTTTGCAACAAGGCATGCATTGTGCTAAGAGCAGCATTTGCTAACACGTACCAAATTAGAGCAGTCAGAGTAGACATAGTGAATTTTTTAGGAACTTTAGATGAGGAAAATCTCGTTGAGACCGAATATAGATTCTGCTTTGAGTAAAAAGGGCTCCCCGCCCAACACGAAATATTGCAGCAATATTTTCGAAATACTCTCGAAAACAAAGGGGGCGGCAAATCTTGCAGTTTTTTCAAATGTAGATATAAAAAAAAATCGGATTTAGAAAAAAACTACAAACGAGAAAAGGCGACAAAATCTCTCATTTCCTGATAGTTAAAGAGTAGTAATTTCTAATTTGTTCGTCTTCTGGTGATACAAGAGACAGCGCCTTTCATTAGTATAGTTGAGAGAGAAATCAAAGACGCAATTTGGTTTGAAGGCGCGGCGCAGAGAGCAGCGATGACGAGGACTTGAGATGAAAAGGAGAAGCCGTCGGCGCGCCGGTCAGCATGAGACACATATTAGCGCCTACAAGACTCCATGAATACTTCACGCATTACGTCAAACGTAGTGCGGTCAGCAGCGGTCGGTGTGAAACGCATTGCGCCTACAAGACTGTGCGGATACTTCACGCATTGCGCCAAACACAGTGCGGTTGGCACGGTGGCGGAAATTAAAATTATTAAACCACATTCATGTTTATTCTTTC